CACCCACACCCACACCCACACCCACACCCGCAATGCACCGTAAAGCATCGTTTACGATTGCTGTATATGGCTAACGCATACAGCTGCCGTTATTCGACGTAATTGGTTGGTGTACGACCGTATACGAACGAGCATGATTGACCTGGGAATATCGATGTGTAGAGGATAGAAATTTGTATACACTGTGACACACGATCTTCAGAGATCACCGCAGACTGTATATCAACCTTGAGCATATTTTCTCATTTTGGAAGATAAAATCGAAGTACTAAATCTTTTAAATACAACTGCATTTGTATTTTAAATTGCTTTCAGTTATATTTTTCAACCAGCTGCAATATATTGAGCTCGCTAAATATGAAATTTCACTGTTTCTATTCAATGAGCTTAAGTTTGTAGAGTACACTAAACTATAGTATTGCCTTTTTCTTGTTTTTAATTAATTGCAATTCACAGACTTCGTTAGACATAATTGCTACTACGAAGCTCATGAGCTATATTTGAATTTGGACATACCATCTAACCATCATTATAAAATGGAATCAAACATTGAGACAGCACGACTAAATGAGGTGCAAAAGTATTTATATACAAATATCAAATACAAAATATGGTATTCTAAAAAGGATAGTCCTCAAATAGAGATATTGATGGAGTAGTGTCACATATCCAAGATTTTGGAGATGCCACCACATCTCCCGTGGGAGATGCCGCGTCTCCAGCGGGAGACGCGACACCCACATTCGAGAGATGTGGTCATTCACCACTGGAGATGTAAGATCTCCTTTAGAGATGCGCATCCCCCCCACCCACACTCGCATCTCTCGCGCGAGATGCGGCATCTCCCGCGGGAGACGTGGTGGCATCTCCAAAATCTTGGATATGTGACACTGCTGAATTGGTTAGAACAATTGAATTTCTCTATAAATACTTTGATTGATGAAATCGTTAAAAATTAATAACCACATTTTATTGTTTCGTATCAAAATAATACGATTGTCAACTTTAAATCAAGTGAAAATTTAAAACTATTTTATTTTACTTGAACTTAATTATCATTATATGCGCAAATGAGAAGTAATCGTCACTAAGACCTAATTATACTCTATTAGCTACTTTCTTATTGCTGTTCGACAGAATTTCGATAACAATACTGAAGAAACAACGTATCCCCAAATAGATCGAATAAGGCAATTTTTATTTGGTCAATACAGTAGCTAAATCGAGTTTCATATTTTAATTCTGCAGGAATTGCGCTAAACGTTTTTGCTCTAGATGAAACAAATTCGATGACAAACTGGCACGACAACGTCGAAAATTTCGTCAACAGTTATACTCAGTCAATAAAGCCAGTAGAACAACTGATGACCAATAAAGTTGATGATAAGATGAATCGTAAAGAACAACACAATGCACACATGAAAACTCAATCTGATCTTAAGATCGAAAATGAACAACTAAAACTGAAACTATTTGTAATTGGAAGGCAACTTCGTGAAATATGTAAAAAGTTGAGCGAGAGTCATAAAAATAAGCAAGAAATCTTGAATAACATGATCTATACGTTGGAAGAAAAAGTTCACATTGAGAAATTTATCAATGAAGCATACCAGAATAACTTCATTGCCGTACATGCGTTCCCAAAATCGAGAGAATCAATAATTTTTAAATATAATTTACTATTACAAGCATTGAAACAATTGGATTATGATCATAAGAATTATTTTCATGATATTTTTCCTCAGATGAATTTCTATGAAAAATATGATTGCAAACTGTTAGAAGGTTTTTCCATGCATCTCAAAGCATTAAAAGGCATCTTTGGTCGACTACAAGATCACCTCGGTCGAATACAAAACGCTGAAGAATCCTATCAGCAAAAAATAAATATAAAACGTCAATTAATAATTCAAGTGATGGAACAAGTACATCCAAGTAATCCAACTAATCGGACCCATTATCGTGATTATTTAATGAAATCAATTCATGATGAAGAATTGTTGAAAAGTTGTATAGGACAAAATATGTTTTCTCATGAGTTTTATCTCTTAAAAAGTGCAGCTTTACATTCATGTTTTCGTGACCATGTGTCATATCAACAGAATTCAACGAAAATTGTACCTACAAAGCTATCAGTTTCAAGCTTGAATCAACACATCTGTTTAGTAATCGTGGGACCAACCAATTCAGGTAAAACTTTTTTCATTAGAATTCGATAAATGACAGGACTCAAAACAGGTCTCATAGTTTAGCGAAATCTTTTTCTCTTGCTGGACTGACTTGATTAAGTCTCTGCAATGTGATATCCGAGATGTTTTTCTTCCAATACATTTTTCGTGCCGACTAAGACTACATAAATATACTATTTTTCCCTCGACTGCAGGGATGGTCATATGAAAAAAGACTAAAATGCGTTTGTGTGTATATGTGTGTCTGTTTGTCGCAAGTTCAAAAAGCATCACAGGGGAACTTTATTTAGGCGTACCTTCTAGAGTTTCACTACAGGTAATTGAGGTCGGGAAATCCGATTTCGAGGTAGAATTTTAATGCCGGTGTTTCCATTGGCTAGAAAGCCGAACAATCAGAAATGGACTTTTTTATTCCCTCGACTGTAGGGAGGGTCATATGAAAAAAAACAGTTTGTGACCGCCCTTATAACAAAGGCCAAAAAAAACATGTGAGAGATTAGCTTATTTTAAGACTTTTCGACGTTTCGATGGAACCTTGCTATAGTTTATCGAGGGCCGAGAATCCGAATCGGAAGTCGTTTTTTTGGCTGAGCTTTCATTGATCGGGAACCGACCAATCAGAAATGAGTTTTTTTTTATTTTAAGGCTTTTAGACGTTTTGATGGAGCTTTGCTATAGGTTATCAAGGCCAGGAATGCAAATCCATTATCAGTTTTCAAAATTGCGAGCTTTTAGTGAAGACAGGTAATACTAGTCAAGCTTAGTTTGGATTGGTTAAGGGTAGTTAAGGATAGTTAAGAGCAGTTAAGACTAATTGAAACTAATTATAAATTCAGTGGACTGGTGGTAGGGGGATATGGAAGTAGTTAAATAATTTGTATATATGTTTGAATACGATCAGATGCTCCGATATATTCCTCAAAAGCCAGATAAACTATGAAAGAAGCCTATAAGTTTGACCTTACTGTGAGGGAATTACATTTTTTTCGTATTTAGTTCTTGTTCAATCGAGGTTCTTGGTACTGGGATTTAAGCTAATCAGATCTCATCCTATGCTTATTTTGTTCAATAAAGCTTCTGTTGCTTGGATTTTAGTAAAACAGATATTTTGGCTATGAGAGTGTCGTTCTGGCAGTATTTTTTTGTTTTTGACTCTTTAGTATTCAGGTGTTTAGCGTATCATGTTCGCGCCCAATCATTTTTCTGTGGGTAAAATACTGGTTTATAAGCTACTTAGGGGTATCCAAAGTGGTGGCAACGACATTTTATTACCATATTTTAGGGTTGATAAAAATTCTTTTTACATAGGATGATAGAGCGGAAACTGCTCTTTCTTTCTATGCTATTTGATCCTACTTCGCTTGACATCATAATAACAAAATTCTAATAAAACTAGTTTGCCTAACATGTGTATCGGTTACAGAAGTTCACAGTGTCTCCAATATGCATTCTTTTCGTGATCTTTTCTTTGTTTTTCTTCTTTCCTTTATTCTTTTCTCTTGTCTCTTCTGAGACTATCGTTTATTCATATCGGCATACTCGAAAATCGAAAATACATGAGCAAGTTCAATAAGTTTTATTTGATTAAATGTTCAAAGTAACCGCCTTGATTATCTACACACAACTGCATTCTTTGAATCCATTTCTCAAACGTTTTTCTGTACTCATCTTTATCCAAAGAATACATAAACTCGGTTATGGCGTGATATAACGTTTCGGAATTAGGTTGATCAGTTAGATTTCGTTTGATAAGGTCGAATAACCAAAAATCACAGGGAGATAGATCTGGAGAATTGGGCGGATGTTGTACTATGGTAATTCCCTCTGAACGAAGATAATCGAGGACATCTTGATGAACATGTGCTCGTCCATTATCATGATGAAGTTTGATAGCATGAGTACCTGAGGAAGGTCTTTGTTTCTTAATTTCTTCGATCACATGTTGCAAACAATTTTCGATGTAATAATGGCAATCGATAGTCTGTTCACGTTCGACACGATGGGTTAGAAGAGGACCAGTTCATTTAAAGAGAATGCAAAATAAAGTTTTAGGAGCAAACTTATTTCGTCGTATTATTGTTGATGGAGGATCATCTTTTGCCACCCAAGCAACATTGGAAACTTTTCGACCAGTTTGCTGATGGAAAAACCACGATTCATCACCTGTTATCACGTCAGACAAACGCCATCCTCCTTCTGTAAATCTTGATAGATTTTCTTTGCATATTCGAACTCGTTCATTTCGTTGATAATCCGTTAGCTATGTGGGTATGTAACGAGCAGTAATTTTTCTAAGTTCCAGATGATCCGATAATATTCGATGAACGGTGCCATAGCTTAGACCAGTATGCTCCTGTAATTCTGCTATTGTAACATGAGGATTATCGTTAACAATACTACGAATTTCTTCGATATTGTCAAGAGTAGTCTCAGTTACAAGTCTTCCAGATCGTTCTTCATCTTCAATTTCTTCTCGACCTTCACGAAACCATTGAGCCCATCTGGCAACTGTTCGATAAGAAGGAGCTTCATCACCAAAAACCGTATGCAGCTCGTCGTGAATAGTTCTTGCTTCAATATTTAGTGCAGTACGCACTATAATGTAGAAACGAAAATTCTCTGTGTTCATTGCAAAACAAAAATGAAGAGTGTTAAGAGCCGATTTAACTCTACTTCTTTTACTTTCTATCGAATAGAATAGTGCATGACACGTGCACAAAAAGAGGCATGCATCTTTGTATTTATATGATAAACGATAAAGTCTCAAAAGAGACGAGAGAAAAGAATAAAGGAAAGAAGAAAAACAAAGAAAAGATCACGAAAAGAATGCATATTGGAGACACTGTGAACTTCTGTAACCGATACACATGTTAGGCAAACTAGTTTTATTAGAATTTTGTTATTATGATGTCAAGCGAAGTAGGATCAAATAGCATAGAAAGAAAGAGCAGTTTCCGCTCTATCATCCTATGTAAAAAGAATTTTTATCAACCCTAAAATATGGTAATAAAATGTCGTTGCCACTACTTTTGGATACCCCTAAGTATTTTTGGTGTCTGAGTTTTGTATTAGCAATTTTCCATACGGTATTTATACCCAAGAATGAATTTGTTTCAAAAATTATTTTGATATCAGCGAAGGTTTCATGTCTAGAATTAGGGATGCACCAATTCCAGAAAATTGGCCTCAAAGATGGTATTTTTGCGATATGAAGAGCCACCAATTCCGACCAATTTTTGTGTTAAACTTGACCGCCTTGAATCGCTCTACCTGCAGTGATTGTCAGATTTCACTAATTACAATCAAACGATGGCAGAATTGGTCGGAATTGGTCGAAAATTTAGGATTTTTAGCCAATTCCGACCAATTCTGACATCTTTTAATCGCATTTAGTGTAATCCGACAACCACTACAGGTGGAGCGCTTCAAGATGGTCCAGTTTAACGCAAAAAATTGGTCGGAATTGGTAGTGCTTGATATCGCGAGCATAGCATCTTTGAAGCCAATTTTCTGGAATTGGTGCATCCCTATCTAGAATGAATTACGTATATGAACTTACTTTTCATGTTTCTTCTGCGTTGAGTTTTGCGTTGTTAAAGTTGGGCAATCAACCAAGTTCCCACGCTGATATTTAAGAAGAGTTGACACAGCGTATTTGATCCATACAGTTTTATGTTAGCTTTAGTCTTTTCAATTTTCAAGCTAGAGCCCTGTCACTAATAATCTAATATTTTCTGTGGAAGGAGGCACAGTACTATTTGGAGAGATTGTAGATAAAGGAGGGTAATATGTATAGGAATCGGTTTAGCATGAGAGCAGCTAGCCATGGGTGGCGTCCAGAAGGGGCGCAGCAGAACAACTGGTCGTTGATATCCATGTGTCGCTCCAAATGTGTGGCAGGAAAGATGTGTACAGGATATAGAATATGTTTTGAGAGTATCCCAGTAAGATTCCGCTGAATAAGAATGGAAATATAACGCTGATTATCGCGAGAGACTGTGAATTCTGCACATAAGAAAGCTGTTAGCGCAATCCCTTGCGGGATTAAAAATGTGAAACACGATGGACCTATTGTTATTAATTAAATGGAAATCTTTTTGTTCCATTTCCTTACGACACATTTGTAGCTGACCGTATATCTGATGCTTTACAACTACAGTTTATGTGTCACGGTCTGTGGTGGGTATTCGGGCTCTCTGTCACGGTCTATGATTGGAACCCGGATTCTCTGTCACGGTCTGTGATGGGTACCAGGATTCTCTGTCACAGTCTGTGGGAGGGGGGGGGGGGAGTGGGCCCAAAATTTCTACCCTAAACACTTCAACACTCCTTTCAGATCGTGTTTCACAACATACTCCACGACAAGATCTTCGGCTTGAAAATTTTCATCGCAAATTCTTCTCATATAAATCCAACAATTTATCGAAATATGCCGAATCTGAATCGGCTAGCTTGTAGAAAAAACGGATAATCTTTGGGAAAATAGACTTAAGCACGTAGGCGCCTAGTCGTGAGTGGCGCTCCGAAGGGACGACGGCGAACGACTAGCCGCTCGTCAGAAAGGTTCATTGCTGATGTTTTGAAAAACAGCCGTATTAGATGTAGCAAGCTTCTTGGGTAGATCCCAATTAGATTTCGTTCATGACGAATTATAGAATAACGCTGATTTTCAAGTAAGGCCGTAAAAATCAAGACAATACTTCACAGCAAAATGTTGCGTTTGAAATTTCCTCACGAGAAGTTGGCTATTTATAAGTATAAAAGTAATAGGAACTGAATTGGCTGTATTGTTGAAAAAAGTAGGGGTGGGAAGTTACCGTTACCGTTCCCAGGTAACGGTCTGGGAACCATAACTTCCCACCCTTAGAAAAAAGTAGATGATGTTTTATGAGGACGATTTAAGCATGTGAGCGGCTAGTCGTGAGTAGCGCTTCGATGGCGAGCCGACGAACGACTGCTCGTTTATTGTAAAAGTTGCTGGAAAGAAGGTTTCATACTGCCAGAATAAATAGAATAATTTTTCATCGAATCAGTCTGATCGAATGGATTAGGGTCAGAGAACGACAGAAAACTGAAAAATTCCTTTTTTTAAACAAGTTTCGGAAAATATTTTGTGTGCAGACGCACGATATCTCGTACGCACATTTCGTAGAAAAAGAATCAGAGTATTTGTATTAATCCTATGTACGTGTGCGTGAAAAAACAAATTTTTGAGCGGTGTTATATTTGAAGTGTACCCATTCAGTCATAAGACGGAATAAAAGGAATGATATGCACTCCTTTCTAGTACAGTGATTAAACATCTGCTTGGAAAGCAGCAGACGTGGGTTCGATTCCCTCGGGAGGAATATTCTATTGTTCCGTTCTGTTGTCATGCCATCACGTTGCTGTCTCGGAGATAGCAGAGCGTAATAATATGAGCGTAAAATAAAGAGAATAGAAATGATGACATAACAAGTGGTTTAGCGCAAGTAGTGATCATTTTGAGAATCGAATTTAGGATATCTGAAATACACCGACAACATCAACTTTCTTATACGCTCATTATCAATAAGAAATCTATACAAAATAACAGTTAATAAGCACTTCAAGGTCATTTGCTCTCTTAACGTAGAAATATTGAGTATTTTTCTGTATGGTTAGGATCTGCGTCAGATCTACAACAGTATAAGAAACAAACCGTCTACTTGAAATGAAAATCGCAAAATATACAAAGATACAGCAATGCTGTGAACTATGTAAACACTGATCTTTTATGGGGAAAACCATGGCTTCCGTAGCGGTCATTTCCTAGTGAGATGTTTTGTGGCATTGCAATGAACTGACACGCCTGTAAGACAGTGGGCTTACAATCTGTTACTTAGACGTGTGGATTCTTATAATTTCTGATTAATGTTTAACACAATCAGAATTCTTTTTAATCGTGACTAAAGACACATGGATTCAGTTTGATATATTCTATACAGTTCGAAAAATAGGTAGAATCTTTATCTTTTTTGAACGAAAATGAACAAAAGGAGATATTTTCAACGTTGGAAATCGGTGAAAAGTCGGCCTCTACAGACCGATAGATTTTCTCGGCTTGTTTTTTTTTGATTCTATGTGAAGAGATGAACAGTGGAATATGCAGAATACTTTACAGCCGTTTATGGCGTTTCAGTGACGAAGCGGCTTCAACTAAATATAGATTCTACAGGATATTCACTTGAATTCTCCTTTCAGCGATGAATTCCTGATCAATATGGAATTATAAGTAGGATTCGGAAATAGAAATGGTTCTAGACAAAAGTGAAAATATCAGCAGGAGAAAAAAAAGTATCGGCAGACTACACTGAAAAAAATCGGTATCATGCCGAACCTTTTTTGCAACGAACTCTAAACTCTCGAAGAGGTTTCGTAAAAACCTCTGATCCCTTCAAAATGATTGTCATTGATCGAAAAGTCTATTTTAAAAGTTCGCTAGGGCTTTTTAGGATTTGGTACGGAATCTAAAAAGGTCCAGGATTCGTTGCAAAACTCGAAACCTTTAAAAGTTTCGTATGTTGTACGAAATCCTTTTTTCCTTCACGAAACTTCTTTTTTTTTTTACGAAGCGCTTAGAAGGTCGGTAATGTGACCATTTGTTTCTCTGTGTAGGGTCTGAGAGGTTTGGGGCATGGATTTAATTCAATCGTGGGAATCGACTTCGACCTGTTCGATTAAGTAAATCTTAGAAGTTCAGAATGGAAAAAAGAAAGGTCCCCAGGTCGAAAAGTACCGGCCGGTTCCGGCAGGAAAACACCGGAAATCAACGGAACATGGAAGCAGTATTCCGGC